TAGAAGATTTACTGACAGTTAGCCTGACATTTAAATAAAACCTGGGTTTATTGGTCACAGTTGTTTGTATATGTGTGGTATTACTTCAGAATTTGGCAATACTACAGCAATTAGTTATTAATGCTGTTAATAGTTCTGGGTAGTTCTTCATTTATTAATTTTAAAATTTCAAACATATTTCTTGCAAAAAAAAATCTACCTTTTTCTTACACAGAGCTTCATTGAAATAGAGCAGAAACATATTTTTTCTAATTTTTCCTAATTGTAGTAGTGGTGGCACTGAGCTGTATCAATAGGGCTCTGGTTATAGTGTAATTTTTGTTGTTAAGTTTTCTTTTGATAGATTAACATAGATCAGTCAGTAAACTGATTTCTTCTTTGTTATGTAGGTTTGACTTAAATAGCACATGGTACAGGGGGACTTTTATACTTCCTGTTTTCTCCAGTTGCTGATTTAACTGTAAAAAGTTAATTTTGACCATTAAATGCACAAGAAGCTTTTATACTTTGATTTCAGAGGTTTATGCATGTCTCTGCAGTTTCATATTTGGTTTGATATTATACACATCAATAGAAGAAAAATAACTACTCAAGGCATTTTCATTGAAACAAGTTTTAAAAATACATGCTTTAGGGGAAAAAAACATCCCTCAGAAGCTCAGTATTTTGAAATCTGATTCAATAAACCATTTAAACACATTTCAACATGCAGACTCTTCAGCACAAAATGAATTATTCATTGTGGAAGTTCCACAGTCAGTTATACTCCAGAAATTATCCTGACAATAAATGTGCCTTTCCTTTTTTCCCCCTCTTTGAACAGACTTTGTGAGCCAAAGAAAGACTTAATTGCTCGAGTAGTGAAGATAATTGGGAAGAGAAAAGCCATCGAGCTGCTGATGGAAACAGCTGAAGTGGAGCAGAATGGGGGACTGTTCATCGTGGTAAGGAAAATGTCATCCTGTGGGTTTGCCAGGGATGGGGAGGGCAGCACAGCTTCTTACTTGCAGAAAATTCACACAGTGCTGTTGCACGTCTCTTGTGCTGGACGTGTTCTCCTGGAGTTTTATGGCCTTCCCTTGCCATGAGACCCTCCCCCAACAAACACTCGTGTAACATTCCAGCAGGATTTGAGCAAACAGGAAGGTAAATTAACCTGGGGATTACCCAGGTTCTTGTGCTGAGGTTGGTGTCTGACTTGCAGGGATAACGTTGTGTCTGTTACTGTGACTCTCCTTGGAATCTTTCCCTCACAGATTCGAGGCCTAAGGATTCTCAAGCTTGAATAAAAACCAGCGTTTCCAATATCCCATTTGCAGAATCACTCCCAAAAGGAAAACTGTTTGCTTTATTAGGGAACCACTGGATTGTGTATCAGCAGAGCATTACTGAGCACTGATTTCTGTTATAAATAGTGGTAAAACCCCTGTACTCCTTTTTAGGTTATCAATTTCCTGGTGTGTTTTTGCTGTTGTTAAATAATGAACCTCAGTGCAAAAAACACAGTGGGTAAGAAAAGCTGTGGATGAGGAGAAAAAGTGGGTGAGAACCAGGAAATACTTTCACTTGATTACAGTTTTTAAGTTCTATCACTTGGAAGTAGAGAGGAGGCAAAAAAACAAGCAGAGGGGCACAATCTAAAAAAAAAAAAAATAAAATCAATTTAAAAAAACCAACCAACCAAAGAGCTCCCCCCACATACAAAAAACCCCACTTCCCTTCTTCGAAAAAGAAAAGGCAACAAATTCCAGCTAGCTAGTTGTGTTAGAAGCATTCTGTTGTCTTGAAAGTTAAATTTAAAAGTGTTTAACAGAGGAGATGAAGGGACACAGCTCCTGGTGGCACAGGTTGCTTTGGAAGCAGATTAGAGTACACTCTTTGAAAGGCAGATCACAAAAGGCACCATGAAATGCAGGTGATAAAGAGATGTTCACATGTGCTGTTTCAAAAACCTACTTAAAACCTGCCCATCCCTGTTTTGGAATTTTTAGATTATATAGTACATTATGTAGCAGGAAAGTATGACATTTTGCACCAGTGTCATCCAGATTTTACTGTAGTAAAAGTAGTGTTTTATACTGCAGATTTTAATTAAATAATAGTATGATAATTAGCACTTGTAATTTACAGAGGTTTCAAAGCTGAGCCCATTCTGTGCACTGCAGTTGCTGTACTGAAAACTGCTGGGTTTAACATGTGGGGATGAATTTTTAAAGTACTGGTTGTGTTTCCTATGCCTTCAACAGAAATATAAAATCCTGTAGATAACAACAGACAGGTTGTAGCATTTCTGAGCACAATTATTAATAAAACCCCTGAGATGAACATAATTTTATTAAATTTGTTTTAGACATTTTAGGAATTCTCTGAGTGTTTAACCTAGTGCATAACTCATTGCAGATAGCTGTGAGAGTAGTTAGAATATTATTCATATTTTGTTTCTTCACTACCAAAGTCAGGTTTAGTGTGTAGTTTTAACAATTTAGCATTATGTTCTAAAGGAATTTTTTTTTGTAACTTTGTGATTTTCCTGTCCAGATTTGGCAGGCTGATTGTTGACCTTCACATGACTAATTCAGTCACAAATGAGGCATAGCCAGGGTTATTTTCATGTTGTATTTGAAACACCAGAACTTAAATTAGCTTTATTCTGTCTCAGCACTGAGTGTTGCCTTAGAGGCTATTTTTTTGTCAACACTTACCATTAAGCTTGCTATTCCCAATTTCCTCTCTTCCCTATTAAGAATGGCACCAGGAGAAGAACACCTGGGGGTGTTTATTTGAACCTGCTGAAGAACACACCGAGCATCAAAGAAGAACAAATCAAGGTAAAAATGTTAGGAGTTCAGATGTACATTCTCCTTTGGGTTTTTTCTTCCTACTATGAAATGTCACGACTGAAACTCTAACAAATGTAACTGTGTATTCCATTGAAACCAGACTTTCACATTCAAAAGACAAGCAAAAAATAAAACACTCAAAAATTGCTGAATTGTCATAAACTCTAAGCAGAGAGAGAACTCACTTTTGCATGCTGGCAGTCACAAAAACCTGTTGAGGAAGATGAGGTTGTAGAGTCTGGCAGAGGTAAATGCTAGATTTTCCTAATTCATATGTTTGTATTTTTTACAGCAAAGTTGTCCATATTGTGTTTCACCATGGAGGCTTTGTGTCATTTGTGCATGGATTGAATGCAGGCCTCTCAGTAGAATATTTTTGTCCTGTATAGCTCAGCTGTGTCACCAGGCAGAGAATTGTGGATGAATTATTCATTAAATTCCTTCAAACAAACAATTTTATTAATTTCTCATTAAATTTTTCGTTTGGAGGGGGAAAAAAAAAGAAACAGGAAAATAAAACCCCAACATCCTTCCATAACTTACACTGGTCAGAAAAAATTGTTAGAAGTTGCAAGACTGATCACTTTTCACTATTAGAGAAGAAATTTAGAGAAGAAATTTTCTGTTCTACCCCTCTTCCTTAAGTGCAGTCTTTCTCACACTTCTGCTCTCAATAACAAGTAATTTAGGTAAATATTAACCAGCATTTGTAATATTTGTTTCTTTTATTACTTCACACTTTCTTTAGGAAATACCAGTAAAATGAATATGTCAACATTTTTGTTGTTGTTTTCTCTCCAGGAAATATTCTATCTGGAAAACCAAAAGGAGTATGAAAACAAAAAAGCTGCCAAGAAGAGGAGGATACAAGTTCTGGGCAAGAAGATGAAAAAGGCCATCAAGGGGCTGAACCTGCAGGAGTATGATGATGCATCTCGTGAGACTTTTGCCAGTGACACAAATGAGGCTCTGGCTTCCCTGGATGACCTGCAGGAGGGGCACCACGAGGCAAAGATGGAACCTGAGGATATTATTGAAATTGATAATCCCCACGATTTAGAGATCTTTTAGTTACTGATATTCTTGGTAACAGAGTCTCTATGAAAACATGTTAAATGAGCCTTTCTTTTAATCCCGTGGCTTCTTGTTTTTGAAGCATGGGGAATGCTTGATGCTGAAGAACAGGAGGTAATTTTTAGCTAAATTTAACAGCATGAAAGACTTAACTGTCTGTTACTTGTTTGCTGAGTCCTCAGAAACTCTTAAGATTTTTATAGGTAACAGCCCTGTGTCACATTTGGAAGTGTTTTTAGTCACATGTTAGGTTTAGGAGTTAAGGCTATGTTTTAACCAAACACTTCTCATTTAATTTGCTGAAGCACACAAAGTCAACAGGTGAGCAATGCTCTTTACTACAGATGAACAGAAAAAACAGTATAAATTTAGTCTTGATAAAAAAGATCATATATTCTTGATGTGGCAGTGTATTGACAAAAACAGCAGTATTTATAGGATTAAGACCTTTAAAAACAGATTGGTTTGTGAAATAAACTTAATTTTAGTGGTGAGTGACCTTCGAATAACAACTTTGTAAATAAGCAGTATTGAGCAATGTATGTTTCAGATTTCTGCAGTAGTTTTATTCTTTGTATCCAATGGTGACTTGAACAGACTCCTATCTGTTCTATCTAAACATTTTCCATGATTAGAAACACACCTAAGTTCCATGGATCTTTTTGTTTGCAGACAAATCGAACTGAAAACCTTCAGAATAGTGAGATTTTACTAAGCTGTGTTCCCTTCAAGGGTCTGTAGACTGTACGTGCAGATATAAACCCTTTACCCTGCAGTTCCTGTTTTTGTCCTCCTCCTGTGTGCAGTGAGATAATGTGCAGCTTGCAGAAGATCTGGAGTTTTTCTGTGCTGACTCTTGCAGGGGATATTTCTTTTTATTATTAACTTGATGCTGAAAATAGTTGTGTAGTTTGTTAGTTCGGCCAAAAACAATTTTTATGTCGAATATTGTTTTTAATATAGCTGAATAACATGTGCAGCACGGATATGCAAGTATTTTGTCACTAGTAAGTTGTGGCTTTTTTTTGTGAGTAGACACTATTGATCCCAACTTTTGTGCATAAATTTTTTTCACCTTTGAGTCCTTGAGTTTCAGAAGGAAACTGTGTCACTAAAACACATTATCTGTTTATAAGATTGAGCAACTCAGTACTGCCAAGAGCTGGCATTGAAAGGACTGCAGCATTTGGAGAAATGCTTCTTACACGTAACAGCACATTCCATTACCTGCCTTACTAAACCTGGATTTTGACTTTTCTGCTTTTTTTCTGTTCATGTGTCAGAGCTCTTAATTGTTAAAAAGTTACTCATCAGATGTGCAGCATGCCTTTGCTGGTAGTAGTTGCTCGTGCTGAAATAATAAAATCTCATATTTTTTCATTAACTTTCCTAACCAGTGATGGCCAGAGTAAATCAGTAACTCCCTAAAGGAAACAGAATTTTGTGCTGTTTAATTGCTTTGGAACTGTACCATTTCATCCTGGTTTTGGGAACTGCTTGGGGATATGTCTTAACTGTTTTCTGGATAGAATCAGCAAATTGTAACATTGGTTTAAGCAATTTTTTTATTGTTATGTAATTCGCACTGTGTATTTTTTTAATGTTAATATTTTTAACCTTGATTTCCCAGGCAAGGGGTACTGAAATGGTGTGTAAAGTGTTGTCTTTAACAAAAGGTCAACGGGCATCAAGCTGTTGGGGAGGGCAGTGAGGATGGGGAGGGTTCTGGAGGAGGGGCTGAAGGTCTTTTCAGCTGGAGGAGACTGAGGGGAGACTGACTGGGGTCTTCAAAATCCTCAGGAGGGGAAGAGGAGGGGCAGGCACTGCTCTCTTCACCAGTGACAGAACCCCAGGGAATGGCCTGAAGCTGGGTCAGGGTTTTCAGGTTTAGGCTGGATATCAGGAAAGGTTTCTTCCCCCAGAGGGTGGCTGAGCACTGGGACAGCTTCCCCAGGGCAGCGGTGACAACACCAAACCTGACAGAGCTCAGGGAGTGTTTGGATACTGCTTGTATTTATGCAGACGGCTAATGTAGGGTCAGGAGCTGGAGTTGAGACAGGTTTTCTCTCTCAGCTCCTGCTTAATCACCTTCAGTCTGTCCTGGGCTGATCCTTGCACAGGGAGCAGCCCTGCCTGTCTTTTGTCTGGGAGCAGATCTATCTGTTTAGATTTTGATAGCTGATGTTCTGCAGACAAAAATGCTAGCAATATGGGTTGGGGTTTGAGCTCTTTGAGTTAATCTGATGAGCAGGTACGGTTGACTCATTATATTTGCTGCAAATAAAGACTCTACTGCTGGCACAAACATCACCCTCCATCCCATAAACCACAGTATAATGAGCCATCTCTATTATACCCGAAGACGATGCTGAAAAAATGAGGGAAATGTGTTTTTTTCTGAAAACACAAAGCTTATTTATAACCAAAGACCTTTTGCTACCTTGCACCCAGAGTTCCAACTGATAAACAATAATTTTTGGTACCACTGGAAAAAATTACTAATGATTCAGTTTTGCTGCAGATCTTGAAAGCATCATTTGAAGTATAATTGCAGTTTTACAGATTCTATATCCCTTTCCAAGTAGATGATCTCATTAAGGTGTTCTTAGGCCCTCTGGGCTTATTAACTGGTGTTTGCCAGAATTCTCAAGCAAGCGTGGAATGACGCAGTTCAAGGTATAAAGGTGATGGGAAAAGGAGATGACTGTATTAATTTTGATATTTTCTGTTACAGAGAAAGTGGATTCCTTGTATTTTTTCAGAGTAAAGGTGAAGGGGTAGACTGAGTAATAAAGACAATTCTTCAGTGTTTTTCTTAAGTTCCAGGTTTTTATCAGTCATAAAACATCAGTATGAGTGCTCATTTTGGTAGACTGAGTAATAAAGACAATTCTTGAGGTTTTTAAATTCCAAAAGAATTTTATCAGTCACTAAACTTCAGGATGACAATGCTAATTACTTATCCACTTAATTTAGACCATTCTATGACTGACAAGTCTGTCAGAGGCAATATTTTAAAAAAAAAAAATCTTTATTTCAATTTACAGAGGAGAACTGATGGCTCCAGTGAACATCAGCTTCTTTAGTGCCCCACTCCTGTTCCTAATTCTTACTGATAAGCAACACCTCAGAGATCCAAGCCTTTTTCTGAAGCACTCTAGGTCTTCAGTGGGTCTGCGAATATCCATCCAGTCTTGGAGCTTTGGCATCACAGTTTGTTTAAGGGATTCAGGAATGTGGCAGAGACAGTAACTGCAATCTCCAGGCACCACCTCTTGGATTCAGTGGGCAGCTGTGGCCTCTTGGTGATTTTGAACCTTATGCATCCCATCTTACTTGTCACCTGCCAGACCTGAGAACCAGACCTTTGTTCTTGCAGAACGAAGTTTTATTTTAAAATTACATATTTGAAGGTTTCTTGTCTCCCCATCTGCAATGCTGACAGATGCCACTTTTTCAGAGCTGTGGGAGGAACACTCAGCTGTGAAACATTTAATGTTGCCCAGCCAAATGCACTTCTAGACTCACAAACATCTGGACCCAAATACTCACAGAAATGAGGAATGTGTATCTGAAGGGAGAATACACACACAATTTAGCTATTCTAGACATCTTTCAGGTTGTTGGGTTCTTGTTTATTTTGCTTGACCAGAAAGATTTATTTCGTTATTTAAAAAAACAAAACCAATTTTGTATCCTTAAATACATACAGAAAAAAAAAATATTTACTATCTTGAAAACTTTTCCCCAGATAGAATGTGTTATTAATTGAAAACTTACTAGTGATTCAATATATCAGCATTCTTGTTTAAGACAAGAATCCCTTTGAAAGATATTCTCATTTTTCTGCAGTAGTTCCAGTTTTTTAGTTTGCCATCTAAATATTTCATTTGTTCTATTGACGATTAATGGTGTTTGGGTTTTGGTTTTTTCCCCCCCAATGGACAATACTATTTAAAAGCTATTTACAGTAATTATTTTACATTTGATGTTTAGTTACCACTGATGTGTTTTCTATTGACATCCTTTCAGCCACTGAAATATCTTCATTCAACATGTAGAACTGGGGGAAATAGATCCTGGAAGAGCATTTTGCCTTGGAGCATCAGGAGAGACCCTGCCATGGACCCAAAAAACAAAATAAATGCCTTGAGGAATTTTACTTGTTGATATCCTCACACATTCAGATTTCCAGATGTTGGGCAACTGTGATTGCTTTTCCATTTGGAAAACTCATGAGCTGCTTTTACCTCTTAGAAAACAAACAGGAACAGAATAGTGTCTAATGTTAAAATGGCATACAAAAATTCACCAAACTGTTGTGTGGACTACTTTCTTTATAAAGAAAAATAATTTTAAAACCCCACCAATTTGCTGTAATATTGACATGCTTTCCTTGGTAAAGAATATGGCAACCTAAAATATTTAGGACTCAAGGCTTTGGTAGAAAATCAGAATGTCTGTAGATGTACAGGAGCTATATATCAGCACAATCTTCTTTTTCCCTAAGTAGTTTCAGATTTAAAAAACAAATTGCATTTGTATTTACTTAGGAAAATATGTAAAATAACTCTTGCACCTTGTTGCTGCTCCATGAAGAACTTCTGTCATGGTGGATAAAGATCTATGGTTGACACAACCTTCTTTTCCACAGCAGTTGCTACTGAGTCTATTTCCATACTTGAAAGACAGGTAACACTTCTGGCTGCTTTTATTTGGTTTTTACTTTTAATGTTATTCCTCTGAGCCATTTTCTGCAAACTGCCTAATTTTTTATCTTATGCAGATATTCTTCAGTAAAAGAAGATGAGTTTCTGTGCCAGAACATCCTCAATACCTCTCAAAAGACTAGAGCTTTTTTCAGGCTTGGGTGCCCCAATTTAGCCAAAAGAGTGTAGAGCAGATGAATTTCCAAGCACCACAGCTGGAAAGTGCAATAATCTGCAGCTGAAGAATGATGGAATGAAAAGATCAGGGTGCCAAGCAAGCAAGTAAAGAAGGGTCTTCAGGATTGCAGATGTATTTTCCTGGATTCTGCCTGCCCTGACTGACTGCCTGGGTTCAGCAGCCAGCTCTGGCAGTGACCTTCTCCAGGAGTTTCCTGTAGATAGGTCCAAAAGCATTTATTAATGCTGGACCTCTTTATCTTTAATTATAGATTAAGCTCCATGCCAAGGGCCCTGGCCCTCAAGACACCACTTCCTCTCCTCTCCTTCCCTTCCTCCCTGCTGCAATTTCATTTACTTTCTTCAAAAATGAGAAGAGAAAGTGAGACCTAAATCTGCTGCAATTTTCTCTGCACAGCAACCCTGTAGAGAATGGAGGGGTGTGCGCATGTGAGACAAGCCATAAGGTAATTTTCAGTCACCTCAGCAGTTATATGAGGAGTTAAACAGATGAGATTAAAGCAGGCATGAAAGAGGTTGTTCATGTAATTAATCTATCACTATGCTGCAATCTACAAAACCATAGTCCCTACCCAAGAAATAGCTAAGAGTGAAATCAATAGGTTCCTCCAGCAAGCCCTTAAAAAGGTGGGGAATTAGAACAGAATAGAATTAGAAGAATGGAATGGAATAGGAATAGGGATAGGAATAGGGATAGAATAGAATTAGAATAGAATAGAATAGAATAGAATAGAATAGAATAGAATAGAATAGAATAGAATAGAATAGAATAGAATAGAATAGAATAGAATAGAATAGAATAGAATAGAATAGAATAGAATAGAATAGAATAGAATAGAATAGAATAGAATTAGAATAGAAACAGAAATAGAAATAGAAATAGAAATAGAAATAGAAATAGAAATATTCCTATGAAAATTATCCAGTTCAACTGCCTACCCACTCCAGAGCTAACCAGAAGTTAAAACCTTTCATTAAGGCCTCTATGCAAATAACTATTTTTAAGGCAGGGTGTCAGGCATGGGATATCCATCACCTGTAGGAACCCTGTTACTGAACCCCCTCTAAAACAGCTTTGATCCATTCCCACCCATCCTGTCACCCAGGGGAGTTCAGGAGCTCCCTCTGCACATCCCTTCCTCAGGAAGCTGCAGAGAACCACGAGGTCATCTCTCCAAACAGGACAAACACAAACTCCTCAGCTGCTCTTCATGGGACATGGGTCTCTGGATACATTCCACTACCTTCATATGCTGCTTAAACTGCACCCAGCATTTCACACAGAAAACCCCACAATGCTCCTTTGGCCTTTGGGGAGTTTTTAAGAGCTGCCAGTTTTATGTAGGGAAACTCAAGTCTTCCAGCAGTGAATGGGAACTGATAATAATGCTAAACCGCCTCTGTGAAATTACTTGATCCAAGTAATAAAGTAATAAAATATGACTATATTATTTTTATGAGGAAATTAGTCTAAGCAGGAAAAGCAGAATTTTCTTCTCTGAAGATGTAATTATTTCCAATTTTCAAGCCATCACACTTTCACTGTAATTCAGAAATTCCTAAAAATGACAGAATGTAGATCTGCCTTGATACTTCAAGGTGAAGTAGGAAGATGTTAACAGCTCAACATATAAAACTTTTAGCCTCTAAACTGAGACCACACATTAGGATTTAATGAGCTTCTTTCAAAAGCCTAAAAATTATCTGCAGACTGCAGTTCAGAGTTGGTTGTGCTGCAGGAAACAAAGCTGTGCTACTGCTGTCATTTTCTTACAAGGCTTTGATTTGCACTGGGTAAAAGAGAGGGAAAAACATTTCCATTGAAATGTATCCCAGTGATTGAATCTCTGTGGGAGCAGTAATTTCACTTGACATATTTCACCACTACTCAGGGCAGGGGAAGAAGGCTTTAAGAGCAACAGGTGAGAAAATGTCACCTGTAGTTCCCTCACTTCTAGCATGGCAGTTTCTGCATGCTCACAACCCCCTCCGAAATATTCCTCTTTAACACTGATAGTCCATAATTCCTCCTCCTCACTAAAGCACAGCAGAGCATTTTCCCCAGTTGCCTCTTAGGGGTGATCAGACTTCACCATGCAGACATGCAGCAGCATGCAGACCCCTGGGCTGTCCTAAATATTTCAAAGCTATCAGAGCAATGGTTTCTACCCTATTTATTGTACAGTATTTTGGTGAAAGAGAGTTAGACCTTCCAGGAGGTAGAACTCAGCCTCACCTGGGAGTGAGCTTCCTCCCCATTTCTGGAAAAAGGGAAAAACATTAAAGGCCTACAGGCTAAGAGTATCTGAAACTTTTCAGAGATCGTTCAGGAGACCTGAGAGAAATTAGCTGATTTTTCTTAAACTGGAAAATAAATAGGAAAGACTTAGGTTCAGTGACTGGTAGTTCAAGCTGAAGATATGGGAATGGAACCAAATTGAGCAGTTGCATCCCTGAAGGAAATCCTCTGGAAGTGCTGGATAATGTCTGTGAATCAGGAATGTGAGGCAGCCAGGAGGAAATCTGGATCTGGTGTGTGCTGGGAGGACAAGCTCCCCAGAGGAAGAGTAAATGGAGGAAATAGCAGTTTAATGTCTGAGAAGTTAAGGAGATGTTATCAGCAGGACCTAGAGCCAAACTCAGCAAGCCCCATCATCTAAAGTGATGCTGGGGGCTCGCTGAAATCCACATGGAGGCACTCACCATATCCCTGCCTCAGCATGGGCAGAAAAAATAATTTTATTTATATATATTTATTTAGTTATACCCAAAACTAATTTTATAAAATGCTGACAAAGTGTGTCATCTCTGCCTTCCTCTAAGTGTCGCTCCTGCCCAAGCATTCCCTAGAGAAGGACAGGCATAAAAATAGCTTTTTGTCAAAAGGCGCTGGCTGTGGGGTTGTTTGTGCTGCTTGAATGTGCTTATCAGAGACCAACAGTATTTACTTTTAAGAACAATGATAATCAAAAAGATAACACGTTAGCACTGCTTTGTGTTTCTGAGCCACTCCTTTGAAGGCAGTTTTATGATGTTTGTACAGCTATAATTTTCACCTTTAAACCTCAGGTAATTACGCAAGAATTACCAGGGGAGGAGGAAGGAATAATAAATTTTCTGTCCTAAAGCACGCAAATACTACTTGCAATTGAAAAGGTTTAGAGTAAACAAATCAAGTGATTAATAAAGGCAACCATTCATTAGATTTTTCAGGTATCTGTGGGTAGGATAGTCCTTTCCTACTTGGACTTGGCAGTTGCTTCAGAGTGAAGCATGAAGTTTATCATGAAGGCTGAATAAAAAATTTATTGCTTCCTTATTCTTTCTTGGTTGTTCCTATACACCATATTTCTACAGCATAATATCATTCCATATTGAGGAATAAGAGGAAGTGGTATTTTGCCAGGGCCCATTTAGGGGAAATCACAGGCAAGAAAAATTAGCTACATCCTGAAAGGAAAGGCAGGGGAGAAAGAAACAGATTTTGTTGCTTTGGGTCTTTACCCCAGAACTTTGGAGAGGATATCTTGCAGGTCCACTGCTGCCTATCTGCATGCATATTTTCAGAACTAAGTCATCTCTGCAAGACGTTCAAGCAATCTTTGGCACGAGGCCCGAAATAATTATTCAGCTATCTTTAAACTTTTGGAACAAGCAGAGTACTGTTTGAGCCTTCGAGAAGTTTGGGAGATGATGGACAGATTCTGAGAGTTCTAGAAAGCATAGGAGTTTGCTCCTGCAGCCACCACATCAGTATCTTAGCTATTAGTATCTTAGCTATTACCTAGTTTGCATTACACTACTTTCTTTGCAAGAACATACAAGAAATGAATTATCCTTTAAAAAGCTTTGTTGTCAAAAGCTGTTTTCCCCACTCACAGGCTACTGCAAGGCAGAGCACCTTTCATTCATGAGATAAGATTTCTGTCTGCTAACTGCAAAATGTTTTTCTATCAATAAGAATATTAGCTCAAGTTCTTTTTGGTACCCTTAGCAGCATTTAACATAGTTTGCCATTTCAACAGAGCCCAGGAGAAGCACAAAGTATTCACTTTTACAAAAGGGTACAGAATCAAGTAAGAGCCTCCTGTGAAATCCTGTCCTCTGCTGAGCAGAGCAGACCACATTAAAGCTGGCATGGATGAGCAGTCATTTATCCCTGGATGGAATCTGGCCCTTTGTGAGATGCCATTTGGAAATAATACCTAAATCTCTTAAACCATGAGGAACTAAGCTTTAGGATTCCAAAAATTCTCCATGTGCAAGGCAGCCAGTTATCAGTGTAAAATAATTTTATGTATTACTGTAAAATAGTTTTACAATGATGCAAGGAAAGAAATATGGCCCTGTAGAATTAACAGAAGACCTGAAACTTGTGGAGGTGTGACTTAACAATAGTGATTCTCTCCTTCTCCTCCTTAGAGAAATTTCTAAAGGTAATATGATTTTAAATGTAGTTTTTAGTAGTTTAAGCAAGAACTGTAGTGACCAAAAAGCATATGTACACTCAATGTACTCAGGGTAAAAATGAAACTGATTTGGGGAAATTGCTGCAGTGTCCATCTGGTGACAGCTAAGGCCAAAATTCTCAATGAGACACTCATGACAAGTCTTACATTTGGAGCCTTATCTGACAGAAAAATAAAATTAAATTAAATACAGGAGCATGAACCTACAAGAATACATACAAGGCTCATTGAAGATAGTTGCAGGTAAAAAAATAATAACAAAACTATTCTTGTTATAGAACAAATAATCCTATCTTTACTCAGTGTTTTGTTAATTTAGCAGCTGAGGGGACTGGTAAAGTTTTCCCCTCCCATCCCCATCACAGGAATTGTGATCCTGTGATTCCGAGGTGAAAGATCAGATGTTGTGTTGCTGGACTGTGGTTTATCTCACCTTCACTCCTTAATTCATGCTGTGGCAGTGCGCTGATTTTTCAGAGAACTTGCTATCTGAACACTAGAGGCAAACACAAAGCATGACTTTAGTCAGTGAAGCCAAGTGGAAATAAGCAACTTTTAATTTTCTGTAGTTAACTCCAGGGTGCTCTTGCACCATTTGTAATGTCTATGGGTGTAGAGGAATCCCTATGGATGTAGGGAAACCTGAAAAAGAGATGTTCTATGAGCAAATTTATTCTGTGAAAGGCGGTTATTAATGAAAATTATAGGGTGAGATCAGTTTTTCTGAATTATTCAGGATTTGTATAATAAAGCTCTACCCTGGTATAAATCCTTCTTTCTGAGTAATTTGTCCTGCACGTACCTGTGCACTGAAAAATGTTTAGAATGATGTTACTGGTAATTTAAAAGGTAAGAACCTGCCAGCAATGTGCATTTCCCTCCAGAAGTAAGAAGCAGCATGCCAAAATTAGATAGAGCCATAGTTAAAAAGCAATATAGAATAAAAAAATTTAAAAAAATAAAACCTCTTAAACTTGCAGAACTGAAATTCTCCTATACTTGTGGTTATAATGTTGTGTTCATAAAGCCCAAACCCAGAAACTTGTAACCAAATACACATTGAAATATCCTTCTCAAGTTTTGGCAACTCTTTACATTTGTTCTCAAAGTTTTGGTTTTGTTTTTTTTTTTCCTAAAATGGCTACTTGAGTGCTTGTAAAGTTTTCTGGGGGTCCACAGTCCTGCCAAACTTAGGGTCACAAATAGCTGGGCTGTGAAATGACACTGCTATGACAGTTTTGAAATTGCAATCTTTTTCCTCTGCTAAATGAGATTTACGGCAGTTTAACAGATACAGATAAAGCACCACTTAAAATGGAGAGATTTCAACTGTCAACTTCAGGAGCCTGAGCAAGTCTCCTTTATTCCAAATCTCAGAAAACTCATACAGAATTTCCACTGCAGAGATACTGTAAGGCAGTATTACACAGCTAAGTAATGAAGTTTTCTTCTGAGCTTAGGAGCTTAGACTTGCCTTAACTGCATGGAAATTGTTTTGTGGCTTACAATAAATATCTTCCTTAAGTCAGTGCTCTGTATCAGAAATCACTTGGCAGGTTGAAATAATCAAAGTTCCTAACTTTGAAACAGGACAATTTTCACAAGGCTTTTTCATGAATGCAACTTTTAAAGAATAACTCTACAACCAAGATGCCAAACTTTTAAAATCATACTTATTACCTTGCTGACTAATTAATTTAACAAAACCAGAAGGCTTTTATATGTCTGTGTTTTCAAAATATGAAAACTGGTTTTTTCCAATACCTGCAACACCCTTAGAACAAACTCTGACACTCATCTTTGCAGCCACATAAAAGAGGCTATTGGTATAAAACTAAATATAAAGGCTTGTCTGGACTGGAAATACACTGCAAGTTTATTGTATTTGCACTGTCACCCACAGCAACTCCTGCAGGAGCAGAATGACATTCTAAGATTTTAGTGTTTTCACCAAAGGTCTCAAAAAGCACCCTGCTCCAACCCAACTCATTCCAACAGTCCTTCCTGTGCTGAGAGCAGCTCTGCAGGTGGGGTCTCACCTGAGCAGGACAGAGGGGCAGAATATCCCCTCCCCTGCTGCCCACACTGGGGCATCAGCCCATGTTTTGAGTTTTGGATTGCAAAATAAATACTTCATGTTATCTCTATAAATAAAGTTGGTTTGCCAGCCTGAATCCTGTAAGGTTCAATGACACCTGTGTGATCCTTTAGACGTGAACTGCTGACCAGCCCTGGGGCTCTGAGGACTTCACAAAGTCTGGAGGTCGTTTTTGCCACTCATGACATTGTGGGTGGGTATCTGATAATGCCCAGGTTGTGACTTTGATCCCTGCATAGGCCATTCACTTCAAAGCTTAATTCTGACAATGCTTCTGGGTCCCTTCCAATTCAGAACTCCACGGTTTCTGTGAAACCTTGTCTGAAGGTCCCACCCTGCCTGCCACAGGCAGTGGCTCAGTGGCAGCAGCACAGCACTTGCAGGAAGCGTCCTGGTCTCTGCTGCTTCCTTGGGCTTCTCAGGATCGAGGCAGCCTGAGCTGCCAGGCCAGAGTCTCAGGATCGAGGCAGCCTGAGCTGCCAGGCCAGAGATGTGGGATCGAGGTCCACCTCCAGAGGCTGAAGGGCTGTGACCCAAAGAACCCAGAGGAGCCCCCGTGTCTGCAGAGACCACCCCCGGCTGCCCCCGCCCTCGCTCCCCGCTCCCCGCTGAAGGTCGGAGCCAGCTTCTCCTCACCCCGGTCCCTCAGGCTCCGCGGCCATCCCTGGGCACAGAGCTCCGTTCGCTCCCAGCAGCTCCCCCAGCCCTGCCCTCGGCCCCAGCGGGGCTGGCCCCAGTGACCACCGGCAGCCCGGGCGCGGCACCGGCCGAGGCGGCGGCCAAGCCCGGCC